TGAATGACATTATAAGTTTTTATAATTGAAAAATTTATTAAAATATATTTTAGTATTTTATTAATTTTTTTGTTTTTTCACTGAAGAATATTTATATATATATATATATATATATATATATATATATATATATATATATATATATATATATATATATATATATATATATATATATATGTATATAGTCTTATAAAATTTTCATCTTTAGTTGGCGATTGTTTGGCAGATCCTTTTGAGGTGTCAATGCTCAGAAGAGAGGTATTTTTAATACTTTTGATATAAGATTAGATAAAAATAAGATTAGATAAAAATAAGTAAGTGGATTTTCTAAAGTTTTTGTTTTTGATTTATGAATAAATCATGTACTCTTTTACTAGTCTCTTCCCCTCTGCCTTTTCCTTGTGTGGCTTGTAATATCATTTTTTAAACAATTAATTATATTTCTAATGGTTACTAACAGCAACAATAACAATAGAAACTGATTACAGCATTCATGGAAACTGGTATTGTAAATGAACTCTCCTCTCATTTTATCGACATAAACATAGCAACATCTGTGAAATATCTAAGATCCTTAGATGAAAAAAATACATTGCACACATGTATATGTTGTTGTAGACACATAGTGTACATATACATGCTTTTAAATAAATGCTTGCATGTCATCAAGCATTTTAAAACCAATTTAAGCATGTAATGGTCAACTGATGATTTTAATTAGAGAGATTTGAAGTCAATCAACAATATTTGAATAAGCCCAAACAGAACCCCAATGATCCTGCTTGAAGCTAACTGTACAAAGTTGGACCTTTGATTTCAAGTCAATCAAAAATAATTCAATAACCCCAAAACATAACCCTAATGATCCTGCTTGAAGGTAACTGTACAAAGTTGGACCTTTGATTTCAAGTCAATCAACAATAATTCAATAACCCCAAAACATAACCTTAATGATCCTGCTTGAAGCTAACTGTACAAAGTCGGACCTTTTTCAAACATAGTCATAGAATGATGCAGAATGGTGTTCATTCTGGGGCAGGACTTGAGTGTTAATGGGATTTTTATTCAAAGGTAGACAACATTCGTTTCCGTACATAAAACCAAGCATTTTAAAATCAAAGTTGCATAAGTTAACCAACCCTTATGTAATTACTCTAAATTTTCTTATGTACTTTGACTCTAGTGAATCCATACATATTTTCCATACTTTTTATTAACAAGTAGCAACTGCTTTTTAAAGACAACTATGATAAGCAATAAAATATTACTTAATAATTTCTTCTTATTACCTCATACAAGTTATTTGAAACAATCTAATAATAAAAATATATAAAATCACATTGTTAAGTTTTATTATGTTGAATTTTTCTTGAGATTTTCGTTTTGCATATTATGTTTAGGAATATTTTTAGAAGTAAACATATCTGTAGTAGAATCCACTGTAAGTTAATCTAACGATGGTCTTAAATGACGATCCTATATAATCTAGTTAAATATAAATCCATTATTCATTAAGTAATAATGATGATAGTGATTTTTAAATATAAAATCAGTTTCTTCATGATTTTTTTATTTTATTTTGATTTAAACTATTGCTTAAAATTGATGTTTTAAGAGAAAAGGAAACACAAGGAAATTTAAAAAGAAACAGTTGGCAGAAGACTTCCATTTATCAATCAAAATAAATAACACAATTTTGACTTAACGACTAAATATTTTTTAAGATCTGTCAATTATCATTTATTTGTGTTTTATTGATTTGTGACTTGGAGCCTTTCTAATCATAATATTAATGTACTCGATCAAGATTTTTAAAAGTTTTTTCTCTTAGTCTAATAGTGTATATATTTCTAATATTTAATATTGCCTAATATTTCATTATATATATAAAGAAACAGCTTTATATATATAAAGACAATATTAATATGTTTTTTATATTTGTCTAATATTGTCTATATTTCTAGTCTTAGGTTTTCTAATTATCATTTTTAACTTATTTATCACATTGTTTCTATTCTTGTATTTATGTTTTAAAAATGTCGCCATTTTTGGCATTTTTCAATTAAGTTTTGTGTGATGTGTGTTCTTGTGTTTATTTTTTATTTGTGTGATGTGTGTTGTTTTATTTGAACTATATTATTAATATAGGATTTTCAATTTGCGTCCGGACGTAATGAGTATGAAGATGCTCTTCAGTGTAATAATGAGCCTTCAAGTCGTACTCCTCGCGGTCATCAATTTCCAGCAGCATTTATGATAAAAGCATCTGGATTAGACAAGGTGGTTTAATTTCTTATTACTTTTTTTTTTGTGTGTTAATCAGATTGATTTTTTTAAATTTTAATAATTATTTTTTTTACAGCACGGGATTGACTCCGATCATCCAATAAAATATACTCATTTGGATATTGCGGGATCTTCAGGACCTTACCCTGGTATTCCTACTGGATGTCCACTTCCGTCTCTTACTAGATTATTAAAAATGATTTAAAAAATTAAATTTAAGTTCTTTTTTAAATATATTAAATTTGCAAAAAAAGTTTTAATGCTTAGCAAGAATTTAATATCTTAAGATAAAAACAAAAACAAAAACAAAAAAACATGCATAAATTAGTGCTATGGTTTTAAGATAGAATTCTAGTTTAAATTAGTGCTGCGTTTATTTCTATGTAACAAATATTTTTTTTTGTTTTATCCTTGAATAAAAAGTGTGTTTTTGTAACCCACTTTTTCTTATTAACCCGTTATTTCACTAAAACTTTGGTTCTGTGAGCGAGACAATGAGCTTCTGTAGACGAGACAACGATAAAAACTTTGCTTCTGTGGACGGGACAACAATAAAAGTTTTTGTATTACTGTAATAGTTTTCGTGTTAACTGCTAGAGATCTAAGAATAGACGAACTGAAGTTATCTGTGCTTTTATACTTGTATGAATACTTTTGGATAATTTGTGAGCCTTCTATGAAATTTAGAAATCACAAATAGTCCAAAAGTATTCATACAAGTATAAAGGCACAAATAAATTCAGTTCGTGTTATTCTCAATTTAGTAAGGTAAATTAGTAAAACTTAAATCAAAGTTTTTATAAAAAGTCTCATCTTTTACAATCTTGTAATTAAAAATTAAATTCAATAAATTTTAACTTAAATAAAAACGAGTCTTATTAAAGTTTTTAACCCGGAATCATCAGAGAAAAAGATTCGTAAAAGAATTGTCAAAGATATAACCCGCAAATAACCCCAAATTCAATTTCCGCTATAGATAACATTGACAAACATTTCTAGATTCCTCTTTAAAAATAGATTTAGTTAATTATTATTAGTATTAAAAATTTCTGGAAATTTTCAACCATAATATTTTGCGAAACAAGTAACAGAAGAAATAAGCAATGATAATTTTGATGATATGAGGGGTGAGCAGCAAGCATACTATGGTAATGTTTTTGTAGCTAACCGTTGCAAATCTTTAAATCGATTAGAAATAGAATAAGTTGCTGCCTATTTTTTTCAAGGTAAAGTTTTTTTTTCTGATGCAGAAATTAGTAAGCTTTATAGTTACATAAATTTATTTGAACTTAAATTTCGTGCATATTTTCGAAAGGAAAAAAGAAGAATGCATAAACTAATTTTTAATGTATCAATTTTTGGTTAAACTATTGAATTGCTGAGTAAATATGTTGCTGCGAGGTAGAGGTTGTTGGAGTTTTTTGCATTTGTTTTACTTTAAACTTTTGGTAAAGTTTTCGTAAACTTCGTTGTTAAATGTTCTTCCGCGGTTTTGTGTCAAGATCCTTAGGTACTTTTAGAACATATTAATATCGAAGAAAAAAGTCATCGAAAGAACGACGTTAAGAAATAAATTATTTTTCAAGTAAATTGTAAACTATGTAAAAGACTTGTATAAATATTTGAAAAAAAAGTAATTTTAAAGTTTTACATAATTTATGTTCAATGATTTAATCCAAAAAATTTTTATTTAAATTTAATTTAAAAAGTTTTATTTAATTAGTGTCAACACTGTTCAAAGCCAAAATGCTAAACTTGAAGGAATGCAAAGCGCAGAAAAAAAAAATTAAAATTGACAAAACTGCCATTAACACAAATGCAAAATATTGGTTTATAGGAAACACAGCTGAAGTGTAATTTTCTTGCGCTTTTTTATGTTTTTCATTGACCAAGTCAAAGCGTTTCCAAATGCAACAGCGCCAATCGAACTGAAAAACAAACATTTAAAAATTAAATATGAAAATAGACTCTAATTAGCTATTTAATTAGTATAGGGTAAAAATTTCTCAAAAAACAAGGGTTGCACCCTGCATCACCAAATTCGCTGAAATTTGACACAAATGTTTAAAAATATAAGTTAGGAAAGACTGTAAAATTTTTTCAAAACATTCTCAACCCTAACTAACAAAATTGTAGAGTCTACATCAACATCAAAAAAAGTACAACTTGCGACACTTGCTCCAACAGGCTGGTCAATAAAAAAGGTATCTGAAACATTGCATGTAAAAACTATGTAACTCGAACTGCACGTAAGTTAACATTAGAAAAAGGTATTTTAACCATGCCTAATCCTAAATTAGGAAAAGCTCTTCCTGATGTAACAGTTCAACTGGTCAAGACCTTTTACAAAGACGATGAACATAGCCGTATAATGCCTGGTAAAAAGGACTATGTAAGCATAAAGAAAAATGTCCACATGCAAAAAAGTTTGCTCTTATGTAATTTAAAGGAATTGTTTGTTGCCTTTAAAACCAAGAACCCAGAAATAAAAATAGGATTTTCAAGGTTTTGCACCTTGCGACCTAAATGGTGTATTACTGTTGGTGCCTCAGGAACACATTCTGTATGCGTCTGTGCTATTCATCAAAATTTGAAATTGCTTTTACATCCTCTTGGTGTGACATACAAAGAATTGTTACCTTATATTGTCTGATATAACTAATAAAGACTGTATGATGAGGAAATGTGAATGCACTGGTTGAAAAACTTTATGATATACTTGGAGAATTTGAAGATGATGATGAGATTGAATTTGATCAATGGACAACAACAGATAGGTCAAACTTGACACATAATAAAGAGCCAGTGTTTGAATACATTGAACTAGTATGTAGAAAACTGGAAAAACTTGCACCACATTCGTATTTAGCAAACCTGAGTCACCTGAGATCAAGAAAGGAAGATATGAATGAGGTAACAGCATTATTTCTGGGTGATTTTTCAGAAAACTATAAATTTGTTGTTCAGGATGAAATGCAAAGCTTTCATTGGACAAATTTACAATCTACACTTCATCCAGTGATTATTTATTTCAAAAAAGAAGGCGTTCTCAAGCACAAATCCGATCGTATTATTTCGGATGATATGATCCATGATGTGAACATGGTTTATAAAATTATTGAGGTTGTTTGCAATGATATAAAAACATTTGCCTCAAATAAAAAATATTGAATACATTTCAGATGGGTGTGCTGGTCAATATAAGAATTGCAAAAATATGTTAAATCTTTGTTTCCATTGTGAAGATTTTAGTTTTACCGCTAAATGGAACTTTTTTGCAACTAGTCACGGTAAGCAACCTTGTGATGGGATAGGTAGTACAGTCAAACGTCTGGCAACACTAGCAAGTTTGCAAAGAGATATGGGTAATCCCATTTTATCTCCACAAACAATGTATAAATATTGCAATGAAAACATTGAAGGCATAAATTTTATATATATTTCATCAGAAGATTTAACTTTGGTGAGAACCGCTCTTAAAGAACGATTGGATACTGCTAATACAATACCTGGAACACGTAGTTACCATCAGTTTGTACCACTTGGCCATCAAAAGGTAAATTAATATTTTTTAATTATACCTTTTACCATATTTTAATATACACGCATAACTTTTATTGATAAACTCACATAGATATTAGATTTTTGCAGAACCATTATCAAAAATATTTGTATTTTATTTTATTTCCTCTGAATTTGCTATCTATGCATTTAATAAAACATGTTTGATAAGTAAAACGGAATAATTGCATATGTTACTATTTTGTTTAGGTAGGCACTAAGCTATGCAGTGTTGATGAAGAATTTGCTTTATTCATGACTTCGGAAATATCCATATAACAACAGTAAACCTAGTGCCAGGTGATTATGCCAGTGTTTCCTATGAGCAAAAGTGGTGGATAGGAGTCATTGAAGATATTAATTTAGAAGAAAAAGATGTGCTTGTAAAATTTATGTGTCCTAATGGTCCTGCACGGTCGTTTAAATGGCCACAAACGGAAAGCCAATGCTGGATTCCTGATGTCCACATTATTTGTAAAGTTGAGGTACCGATAACAAAAACAGGACTTTGCTACTATTTAGCCAAAGAGGACTTATAAAAAATTATTTTCCTAAGGAAGTAGAGATTTTTATATTTATGAGTCTATTATGTCTTATCCATTCTTTTTTCAAATATTATGTTTTGTGAACCAAGTTGTAAATAATGTGAATGTAAAGCATATATAAAATCACTAAAGATTAGTAATTTTTAAAAAAAATTTATATACGTTTAAATTTTGTTGTAAATATCATATGAAAATGAAAAAGATAATAAAGTCACTAAATTTTTAGTTTCTAATTTGATGGATTGGTAAAAGGTTGGGTTATATTAAGTGTCTAATTTAAAAAATATTAAAAAATTTTGTGTCTGTATCAAACATCAATAATTCCTCAAGTAAATATAAGGCCAAAACAAAATTGGTTCAAAAAGTAGGTGTTGATCTTATTTTTAAGAAAATCGAAATTAAATTTTTTTTATATCAGTCAGATTTTTTTTATAGCTATAATTGTCAATGCCCTTTTTTCTCGGCGTTATAAAGTGTATTTTATGGATCTTAAAATAAGCTACATTCCTTTGTTTTGACATATAAAAAACTATATTTTTCGGATTTAACAGGTTTTAAACTCTTTTAGTACAAAATTTCAGAATTGTGGCATCATTACAAGCACCATATTAAGGTGAAAGTAAACGGAATGATTTTCGGCACTTTTTCCCCCTCAGTTTTTAGTCAAAATCTAGGAAACTTCGAATTGCTGTAAATTATAAGCGGTAAGGAAATATTGAAAAAAAAAATTACAATCTTTTCTAACATATGTCTATAAACATTTGTGCCAAGTTTCAAAAATTTTGACGATATAGGGTGCAGATTTGTGTTTTTTTGTGTTTTTTGAGAAATTTTTACCCCATAACTTTTATAAGCATATGGAGGCTCAGATTTGGAAAAAAAAAAAGCAATATGTAAGCATATTCCTGAGCCTCAATAAACCATTTAAAAAATTCAAATTTTATTTATTTTATTATTTCATTTATTTCAAATTTTATTTATTTTATTATTTCATTGATAGCATTTGTATATAGTATATATTTTTTATTTTTTATTATACTGTACTAAAGTCGACTTTTAATTTTTTTTATAATCATTAACCTTTAGTAACGCACGCATTTTTAGAAAG